GTTCCCGTACGTGCAAACGACAGCGCTGTCGACTGTGATGAATTTTGTGATAGTGTTTGCTATCCACCACCGAAAGCACCTACCTTCTGCCTTTGTTTGATGGAGCTCTTGAGGGACTTATTCATCACCGATTTAAAGCCACGTGTCCGGACTCTGCTTACTTCACCTTCCAACTTGTGGGAGAAAAGACACCAGCGTCTTTATATGTACAGCTATGCAGGGCAAATGCGTCGTAGTAGGCAAGTTTGTCAAAACAAATTTTCACTTCCCTTTTAAAATCCTTAACCATAGGACTTGTTAGTGAACCACGGCTGTAAATATTTAGGAACGGAACGTATCAGAATATCATTCTCTCGAATTTTGGCGTTCTAAAAGCGTCCACAATTCCCTTCTTAAGTATTTGCTCGTTCGTTTTCTTTATTCTTTGCGTTATGTGGATTTATAATAAAAATGCCCTCATTTACTGCGACAGTGAGTTGTGTAGCTATCCTCAAATAGCCAAAAGGGTGGCGCTTTTAACACACCCAACTGCCAAGATTCAATGTTTAGGTGGATAAGCATAACGAAACATGGCAATTTCTTTTGGCAGAGCTTTTTTGGTACCACGCCTGTTAGGCACTGTAACGAGCTCGGAATGTGATGTAAAATTTGCTTTTTGGTTTCTCTAACATTAGTCATTCATAAGGAGTGCTGAATGGGTGCTGGTGAATTGGCGCAGCACCAACTAATAGCCAAGGTAACTTCTGCAGTCGACTGCGCATAGAATGAAATGCGTGGCGAGTGGAAAATGCCTAGGCTATGCGTGACACTGTGGCAGTAAATTGACCGTCGACACGCTGTATCCACTTAAGTCGTCCTCTCTCAAACAATCCCATCGTAATGTAATACATACCTTCTAATAAACAGACGCCATTCAAGAAAGGTCGAATTAATGTGCATTCGAACTCGTAAAATTTACACTGAACAGATGATTTATTGGTCGGTCATTCAAACGAATTCAAACAACTCTAGACGACTTGATGAGACAGTGGAGCGAACAGCGTCCAAATGTGCAGTCCAGGAGGACCATCAAACAAAAGTCAGAAGGTAGGTGCTTTCGGTGGTTGTTAGCAAACACTATCACAAAATTCATCGCAGTCGACAGCGCTGTCGTTTGCACGTACGGGAACGGGCACGAGCGCACACATACACACAAGCATGCAAACAATGCACACTCAAAGCGGCGCTTAATGGGTGTGGTTAATTAGACCCTGGCTGCCTTCGTGGGTTGTCATTTCGCTGCTGCAGGCATGGCTTTAGTGTGTATGACCTTGTGCAGCGAGACACGAATCCTATTCCATCTTCGACGACCAACTGCATTGACGAAACTGTCCAGCTGTCGAGCATTGTTTTCTCATAGCAGTGCGTTTGCTCTGCGAACATCCAGGGGTATGGATGTGGTAATGGAGCTAGGCGAATAACGTGTTTGCCTTTGAGGAGGCGTTTATGACTACGGATTAGTGTGTGGGGTTAGGCTACTGAAGAGGGGGAGGAGGAGGAGGAGGAAATGAGCTGACCGTAATTTTCGAAACAGATGCAGTACTGATGTCCGAGTGAATGAAGTGTGACAGGATGATGTATGAATTCACAAAACTTTAGCTCTAGTTATGGAAGTTATAAAGTGGCAGGTTTTATTGTGATTGGTGCACGTAAGTCGCGGAGCTGAATGAGGCATTGCAATAATTGCAGTATCTAATTTGCGTTTGTATGTAACGCTGCGCGTGAAATGATTGGATGCTCTTACTATCTACTCGTGGATTGCATTCACTGTGCTCTTTCGTTGAATTTTCGGCTTTTGACCTGTTAAGTTCCCACCAGAATCTCATTGATAGGTGTTTGGTCATACTCACCTTTGACCACTTTATTCCCCGTCGCATTGATGTGACAGCGTAACCATTTTTCAAGGTCAGGCTTGACTTGCATGGCGGTAGGAGGTGAAGTTCATTTATTGTTTACGAGTCGGGCTAAAGTGCAATAACCATTCTGGCACTCAAGTGTCATGGGATCGACTTCGCTTACTCGCCTAATCACTCGGCCTCCACTTATTCACTTAGGTATGTCGATTATTGGTATATGACCCAACAATGCCTATTCCTTCTAGACCCTTCACAAAACGCAGAAAAATTTGTTTTTGTGTCTGTAAAGTGGAATCAATAATAGAGAGAAGGTATGATAGTCTTCCCACTGGCTTATTGATTTTTTTGCAAAATGCCGGAGGCAAAATGGCTGCAATGATTGGCGAGTGAAATAAAAAATCAGTAAAACTGGCTCGCGTAACTGTATTTAGTGCAGCCACCTCTGATGAACGAAGAATAGGAAGCTACCTTGCTATAAGCTTCGAGTTTCCACTACCTCATCCCGACACGTTCACATGTTTAGGCCAAATAAACTAGAATTGGATCGAGCATTGAGCCTGGCTTGTCAATAAGGAGAGGCAGGTGGTATGACATTTATAATGCTGGAACAGGCCAAAACTAACTTTTATAGTGAAATGGAACCATTTGTACAAGACTAGAATTTATAGAATCTATCAAAGGCAACGGTTGTACGGAGACACCGGCAAGGTCGATAAAGTCGGTGCAAACTTCTAAACACATACTCCAACAAAATTTCTCAATAGAAGTGCTCTTCGATAGTTTACATTTGCCGGATCTATATTGTTTTTGTGCTTGTCATACGATTTTTTTGCATATCTCTTGTCCAAATGCGTCTTTATTAAATATTCTTTTATTTGCATGTGTTATCTTACCTCTACTGCTAGAAAGTAGCACGACGCCTTCCTCAGTCTTCGTCGAATTGCTCATTTTACGGTCAGTTTTAAAGATTCTAACGTTGTCTTAAGTTTTTTGTAGTCTACCACTAAAATTTGAATAAGACGATGATTTGTCAAATCGACACAGGGCTATCAAATGAACGGTTTGTGCGATAGTTTGCAAGGGTGACAGAGAAAATGAGTGCAATTTGATTCTCTCTTCCGCCAATTCGTCCAAGCAATGGGTTAAAATGGTGTACCAACTTAAAGAGCTTTTACGGGCATACGAATGTATACTGCCAAGCTAAAATCGCCTCAGAAGGAACTGCAAGACAAAAGCTGGCAACTCGTCGATATCATCGCAACTACTACCAGCACAAGGAGACATTTTGACGAAGACGTGCGCATGTCATCCAGTCATTAACACGTTGGATTTTGATTGGCCCAAAGGAAGCATAAAGGCGAAGCTCAGCATTCGCATCTCAGCTACGCAGAATGCTTGTTCGTCAGACTATTCTCGCCTGCCAGAAGACCTCCTTCTTTGTCGCCCGTGCCACAGTTGCTGGTGCCAATTCTAAAGGCTACCATGGCACTGGAGCATGTTCTCACCAAACCTCGCCGAAGATCCTAATCACTGGAGGTCTTGGTCAACTTGGAATGCCCCTAGCACGGGTCTTTCGGTAGGCTGTCAGCGTGATAGCCTTATTTTTATAGTTCCAAATACGGTCAGGACTCTGTCATTGTGACTGACATTAAGAAACCCGACCCTGCTGTAAAGGATCTTGGCCGCTTTGAATTTGCTGACATCATGGATGCTGATGGATTAAGAGAATTGATAGTTGAGAATCGTGTTGATTGGCTTGTTCACTTTTCCGCTCTACTCTCTGCTGTTGGAGAACAGAACACTCCATTGGCGATGAAGGTGAATATTGGAGGTCTTCACAACATTTTTAACGTGGCACGGGAATTCAATCTACGCTTGTTCATACCCAGCACTATTGGTATGCTCATTTCTACCCGGAAGATAATTATGAAACTATTCAGGAGCTTTTGGACCCAATTCACCTCGCAACCCAACACCTGATGATTGTATTCAGCAACCGAATACTATCTACGGTGTGAGCAAGGTTCATGCTGAACTGCTTGGCATGTATTTGAATCACAGATATGGACTTGACTTCAGATCTCTCCGTCTTCCTGGTGTCATCTCTGCTGATGTCGAACCCGGCGGTGGCACAACAGGTAATTACGAACATTGTGATTTTAATGGCTTCTAGATTACGCCATCCATATTTTCAAGTACGCCATGAGAGGTGAACCCTATCCCTGCTTCCTGAGTCAGAATACAAGACTACCAATGATTTGGATTGATGATGTTATTCGCGCCATGGCCGAGGTGATGGAATGCCCAAGAGAGAAGTTAAAGAGGTGCGTCTACAATTTAGCGGGTATATCTTTCACTCCGAAAGAGATTAATGAAGCCATGCTTCGTGGAATGCACCGACATGGATTGTTGGAGCAGTTGAAGACGTATGAGCTCAAATACGATGTTGACTTCCGTCAAAAGATTGGTAAGTCCGGAGCTGAACGAATGCATTAGTGTGCATGAGTGAATACCTTTCAAGACTAAATGAGAGTCCTATATGTGGATAGCCGACAGTTGGCCAGAAGTTTTGGATGACTCGAACGCCAGAACAGACTGGGGCTGGAGGCACGAAGTCGATATTGATGGCATGGTTGACAAGATGTTTGAATACCTCAAAGCTCATACCAACTGTAAGCTTAAGATTGGATGTTTAAAGCCAAATTGTCTCAGCCGCGGATTCGCATTTGTTTATTTATTTTTAGAAATTAGAACACAACTCTCCCCACCTGAAATTCCTCAAAATTTGAACTGTCTGTATTTTCTTGGAGGAACATTGCCTTTATCGTCTATGTATCTAACTAACATGCACTACCACAAAACTATGCAAATTGTTGCCTAGACCAGGGTTAGATGGGATGGTCACTAGTGTCAACATTTTATGGTATGGGGATGACCATGAGATTTCCATATATTTAAGTGGCTTTGGAAGCGGATAGAGTGTGGTTCTAAGACTAGTAAGGTTATTAGAAAGGATAGGTGACCCGACTCAAGCAAGATGGAGTCGATGGAGAGTTGTCCAAACATGCGTGTCTATGTGACGGGTGCGTCTGAGATAGTATAGGGTAATCTCATTAACATGAGATGACTGTTCCAGTTTTACGAATGGAACTCATTTGAAATCGGTCCAACGTTCTAGGCTGCGCAAATATGAAAGAGTTCATTACCAAAAAAATTGGCATGAGCAGAGGAAGTGTCGCTGAGTTCAGTGACATAACATGCACTCCGTTTATGTACGAATTTAGTGAGTCGTGGTTCCCAGAAGACAAGGGAACTAAAAATTATGACCACATACATATGCTCCAATTCTTTAAGGAGAGCAGAGGAAGCATGTTGAATAGTGATACGGAATATCGGAAATCGAGTGGTTTTATTTAAATGCTAGACGCAAATGTGAGTTGTAATGCTTTGTTTATGTGACTACCTGACGTTTGGCAGTCACTTTAGGATCCGTCTTAGTCTTGTACTCGTGGGTTGACAGTCGGGCCATGCTCAAACCCATTTGCTCTGCTCCCTTCGAATTATATGCAACCAGCCTCACTTACCGCCTTCTTTCACACTATGGGAAGTCTTGACACGCTACAAAAGTAAGCAACAAAAACATATAATTATGGAAATATCCCACAATAATTCTTGTGTGAAGCACCTTCGTTTTGAAAATATAGTTCTTTCTAGAATGACTAAATTCCACTGCGCAATTCCTTGTTTAGAACGTGGATTTCGACATTTCACAGCAACTGAATATGCGTACTTACGAAAGAAATAAAGGCTGACCTGTCGAATTTGCAACACGATATTGAATTTTTTGCGCTAATATAACTACAGTATGTTCACGCTTCTTGATGCGATTTTAAAATACACAAATTAAAGTATAGGCCTAATTACAAGTACTATGGCACTAAAAATTAAATAGTAATGCAATTAAATTAGCTTATTTCATGCTGCCTAATTGCAGCCTTGTTTTACCAATGATGATTGGAAGACATTTGTCAGCTAACCCAGATATACAAGGCAGTGTGATAGCGATGGATTATGACAAGGCTTTTAAGACTCTTACTAAGGGGATGGATGGATTTATTGCACCCAAGGCAAGGCACCCAAGGTTATTCTAATGTTAGTTTCCTGTTTAGAAACTCAGAAAATCCGTTGCTGCTAAATTCACCAACTACTCTGACCACCAATCTATTCCATACAAATGTACAAAAGAGCTTCTTTGCAATCCACCTAAGGCTTACACATCTCGCTTCCCTCCTATTTTTTCGTTCGAATCGCTGTCAAAGCCTCCCTACAATTTCTCACCTGACTTAGGCGTCATCCTTTCTTCATTAAATTATACCAAACCTATGCCCGTGCAAACGGAAGTTATTCCTATGTTCTATGAGGTATTGTTTGGCTAGAGTTTCACATGCCTAATATTCTTCTTTTAGGGGTGCGATATGCTAGTTGGTTCACCAACGGGTTCTGGAAAAACAGCCGCTTATCTGCTCCCGATTTTAAATTTTGCTGCTTTTGCTGAAATTGAATCCGCTCCACAGGAGAAGCACACAGTTCGCCCACATTCTATTGTTGTTTCTACGAGTCAAGAACTATTGGGTCAGATTTGGATGGAGGCAATGAAACTGGGTCAGAACTTGTTTCCTAAGCATGGAAAGATTGCAATTCTTCGGCGCAACCACTATAAAGCGAAAGGAAAACAGAGCGTTTGTTCAGGTGTTTAGTTTTATGTGTCATTCGTAGGGGGAAACAAGAATTAGTCCAAGAAAGGTTCGCGAATTACGACTGCCTTCAGATACGAGGGTTCTAATCACAACTCCGAAGCGGTTGGCGATGTTGTTGAAAAGGACTGGAACGCAGTGTCCTATTAACTTCTCTCAGTGAGTTTGGTTGTTGCTCCTTAAGTGTGGCGGTCATCCATGTCTGGGGCTCGACTTTGAAACTATTGTTGCCTGTCTTCTGTAAATGGGCCAGTACCGATTGCTTGCACCTTTCAAAGTGCATGGGCTTTTAATTCGTTTTGAAAAACTCCTTTGATTTGCTTTATCACTCATCTGTTTTAGATATGGATTGAATACAATTTAATTTTTATTGCTCACTTTGGTTAAGTAGTCGTTCCCTTTTTCAGCCTGCGCTGGCTAGTGATTGATGAGTGTGACAAAATGCTCGAGTCGAATATTGGTGAGAATGACTTCGGTCTTCGCGCCTTTCGGTCTCAACTCACTGCCATTCTTCACAGTATTCGGGCTCATACTACTGAATTTCCCAACGTTGCACTCTTCTCCGCCACTCTCACTTCCTCTGTTGCTGCTTGGGCGACAGAAGAACTGCGTAGCACCAACGCCTCTCCATTAAGGAGCCTAGTGAAGATTCAGCTTGGTGATTGGTGAGCATTGCTAACTATAGCTTTTGATATGAAATGCTATTGAAACTTCGTGAAAGCTAATTTTCCTTTCACCAGTAATGCGGCGGTTCCTTTCGTAAGGCAGGAGCTTCGTTACTGTGGCTCGGAGCAGGGAAAACTGTTGGAGTTACGTAAAATGCTTATTGACGGACTCGTTTATCCTTGTTTAATCTTTACTGAATCTCGGCAACGGGCTGCTGATCTGTTCAGAGAGATTAATCTCTGTGATAAACTTATTTTTGCCAGCATTCTTTCAAGTGAAAAGAGCGAAGCACAGGTACGCGCTCTGTTGGTGGTTGCATGATGGTTATAAAATTTAAAATGAGTACGACATTGATACTACAAATGGTATTATCACATAAATGTGTTGGCAAGTAGTACGAGTAAGACGACTTCTTTTTGAAGCTCTTTTGTGAGAAAGTAGCTTCATGATTATGACACCACTTGAACTCCCTTTGTGGCAGTTGCAAAAATTACTATTCGTTTGTGGTCTGACTGGTTGAATTACGGGAGACCTTCCATCTACAAATATACCACTGCAACGGCATTCTAGGGACTCATAATTCTTGTAGTGATAGCTGAAGCAGCTATGGTGCTCTTATTTTAGCGTGCCGCTACGGTGAAGGCATTTCGTGAAGGTAAGGTCAATGTTCTCATTTGCACCGATCTCCTTGGTCGAGGGATGGACTTCAAGGTATGCTTCAAACAGTATCTCAAAGTGGTTGCTCCTTCAAACACTTTTGTGACGCATTTCTTCCTCAGAGCCTGATGATGGTGGTGAACTACGATCTTCCACCTTCTCCCGTTGAATACATCCACCGTGTTGGTCGAACTGGACGGGCCGGCCGTGCAGGTGGCCGTGCAGTCACCCTTTGGACGGATGCTGATTTGCCGCATATGGACTCTATTCTGGACGTGATGAGTAGAAGCGGTGTTGAAGTAGACCCAGACCTTCAACGGCTTGTGGCGGTTTGGAAGTCGAGAAAAGCAAAGCAGATGCATGCATGCGCGTTGGGAGGTGTAGTCTCCCAGCGCAAAGGCGAGCGTAGGCTGGTTGCCAAGTTGGTGTCGAAGGGGTCGAGAAGCGAGTTTAATCGGTAATGTTCGTGGGAGGGAAATGTTGGGATCCTGTATATTAAAAGCGCATTGCTAACATCTCTGTGCGCATTTTTAGAAAAAGAGGCCTTCTTCGACCTTGGAATCCTCATCGGGAGAGCATCACTCAGGTACCAGGCTCTAAATCTCGTGACCTTAGCATTGCAAACGGTGGGTTGAATGTTGAAATTAGGACAAAAAAGAGGAGAATCCATAAAAGGACAGCTTAAGTATGTAAATTGTGCAAATAAATGTGTGCTATAACTAACTCTTCCTTCCACCGAGTCTACTACGATCGAGTTAGTGCAGGTCCATAGTTTAGCCTCTCCCTCGTGGGTGAATGACAACTGCCACGGATCTTACTTCTTGTTCACTGATTACCTCTCTTTTCTACAATGCGTTCAAACAAATCGGTGTTAAATTTCAGTGTTGAGGACTCTAGTTCCTGGATCGAAACCTCTAATTAGTTTTTCCCCGGTGGACTCTAGAAGTGCCGCAGTTGTTATAAGTTCGAAGCGAGGATGTTGTTAATGTTCGAGGGATCTGTGTTATGTTCGGATGATGATTAAGTGATTTCAATCTGAGACGCCACTTTTACGAGATAGTGATAGTCACCTGTTTGATGCTTTCCTCCTTCATTCATTTAAAGCGTGTGGCCCCTGGAAGGTGCTATGATGGCGATTAGCCTTACCTGTCGTACTTCTTAGACCTAAGTAAAGGCACTGAAGATTAACATGCCTTGACCTGTTTATTCTAGGCAAATCGAGGGTGGCAAATAAGCTCGACACAATTCTGTAAGGCGTTGCTGCCCTACAACCGTGTAATTTCGACGCCTGCAATCATTAGCTATTAAAGTGTATGACACTTCGCTGTCTTTGCTCACGCTACTTTCCTCACATTTTTAGGGTTTTCTATTTTGCCGTGAACTTAGCTTATCTTCTGCTTTGGCATAAACAGTAGTTTTTTGACAATACAGAAACTGATACACTGGTGAATTAAACGCCACGAGAAGCATCAAGTACACTATATCACTCGAACTCTAGTCATTCAAATGATAGACAACTGAGTTGTTCTAGAAAGTGTTGTCAGGTCTTCAGAATAGTTAAGTTTTGGCTTTCTCAAAGGTTCATTTGTTTCTGCAGGTTAACTCCGTAAATCCGTTTCAATCTGGCCAAAGGAACGAAATGAGAGAACATCTCGTCCATAAGCTTTGTGTCGGTTTACACGTCGGGTGGAGGTGAGGGGGTCGGGCGCATTTTCACATTGTGTGAAGCAAGTGAAACTCACTAAACTACGCACAAATTGAGCAGGACCATTTGGAGGAGTAGTAGTCCGTGCCTTAGTCGTATCTAGTAGGGAGGGAAACGCTGAGAAACACCCATTGCTATCTCCACTAATCCATAGGTTAAGTTAGAAGCCAAGAAGAACATCCGGCAACTTTGAGGCTCCAAGTTGATTTGGCATGAAAGGAGGAGATAATGATCTTTGAGATTGTCGTGCTGTTGGTTACGTGAGTTTTGTTTTCTCAATCTGCTGACTACTGGTTGAAGAGGTTGTAAATAAATTGTCGCATCAGCATGTGGCTGCTGATTTCGCCGTTCTGTAACGGCATGCACTTCATAAATAAAAAGAAATGATTTCCTCCAGTGCGACAGGATCATTCTTGGTTGCGCCTTCGATCGTTTCTTACCGCTACGACTTTGGCTTGCATCCCTTAAGGTGGAAGAAAAAGTGCGACGGGCTGACGTGGAGTGTACATGCAATCGCATTAGATCAATCGTCACAAGTTGATGCACAGTAACTATTTAGTCAACCGACTTTATGGACGAGCAAGCTCGCCGTTGCCTCGTTTCTAGAGTCGCTCTCAACTTTGCCATCAATCACTGGCGCCATTCTGAGAGAATTACCCAGTATCTACAAGCCGAAGGAGGAAACTTTTGGATTGAACTTCGATTATGATACATTAATATGCTTGCCCTCTGTCTCGACTACCGCTGGCGTGGTGCTCTTGGTTTTGTGGATAGCAGTACCAATACGTGCACAAAAAAAGATAAAGCAGTCGCTCCTAGGTAGTGCAAATACCCGAGGACACAACTCTACAAAAGACCAAGCACAATGCAGCGACGAGATCCTCTAGTAGCAACGCTTCCGTGCCTATCTCACAATAAACTATCCTCATGAGCATTAAAGACCCGGAACACCTGATAGGGGAGATGTTGCGATGGCGCACAAGTGACAGCTTCCTATGGAAACGATGAACAACAAAGGCTGAATGGGCAGCGTATCAATGCGGTGATCCTACTGCACCCCAAACTGAAACGTCTGAAGTACTGAGCACACCCCCGTAGGCGAGCATAAGTTTGATAAAACTCTGTCAAGGATTCTATCTCGTCTTTAAAGCTCAAAAGGCCCGACTGGACGCAAAAAACCTTCGTTCTTTCTTTTGTTACACAATCTGCGGTCAATTTCACAGTTGCCTTAATTGACGACTACCTCGAATGAACTAAGGATAAAAGGGGACCAGAACCGAATAGACAAATAATGAGGAGACGGAAGGTCAAAAACCATCAAGTTATGGTCAGGCTTCCATTTTGGCAGCTCCACACCGTAAAGTTAGCCCTGAAATTGCATCGCAGTAGAAAATGGCAGTGAATAAATAACAGTAATAATGACGCGGGACAGTCCTACAAAAAGGGCTGGCAGTGTATGACAGTCAGAACAATCATCAGATGACGCGGAGAACGAGATCAGTGGTATAGGAAGGCAGGGCCAACTCCTCCTCCATCAACTGATGCATCTTCTCCCGAAAAGTGTATGACTGCGATTGCCACGTTACCTCTCGTCCTCGCCTACCTCGACGTCGACGTTCTCCGTGATTTTCCTCGGCCTCGTCATCTAGATGTTCCGTAGCCATATCTCCTGCCTCCTGCTGTACATCCTCTCGCCTCCTCCTCTTCCTCTTCCGTCGTTTCCGTCGCCTTGCATCCTCACCTGCTTCAACACTGTCTGCAGGGTCATCCATTGATTCTTCTTCCTCCTCCTCATTAGCTTCTGCCTCTTCCTCATCCCTATTGTCGATGGACTGTTCTACGTTCCGATGACGATTCCTCGCTTGCTGAGAAAATGAAGAACATAAGAGAAGTGAGGGAAATCTCTGAGTGCTATTAACAGGATGAACAGATGATTATCAAAACAGCTTACCAGCATATGACATCTGAGGATGTTTCGTGAGATAAACTCCACCAAATCGATCTGTTGCCCTATCGCCCTTGATCCGGGAACAATAACGTTGACGTGGATTGGGGGGAGTTCAGGCATATCCTGTTGTTGTGGTGGGGTAGAGGGAGCAGAAGGGCGAGGAGAGGAGGACAGCCACGAGGAAGATGAGGATGAAGATGCCGACGAAGTAATGGTACTGGTAGATGAGGAGGTCCCTCCGCTCTGACTTTCATCGCTGTGATGGCTTTGGTGGGAGACAGAATCGGAGGGGGGAGATAAGGAAGAAGGGAATGAGGGGGAAGACTCACGAACTCGAACAAATCGACCCAAATCAGGGAGATTGCCAGCTCGTTGCAGTATAACCTGCCGCAGCTGCTGACGTAATCGTCGACAGGCGAGACGCTCCAGCCGCTCTACCGTACGTTTTGGTGCTGGGAGAGAAAACAGCAACTTGACAGCACATTTAACGATACCATGCCAAAAATTAGTCAACGAATAAAATCATCAGCTACAGATAATTATGTAATTACCTTTTAAAGAAGCTGATGAATGCGAATATGCATTCGATTAAAAGAACAGTTTAGATCAAGTTACACTCCCAGGAAGCTTTATAGACTAAAAAGGCTGCATCGGCTCAAAAGCCTTGCAATATCTTGGAGTGGGAAAAAAATTGCTGCCATATATCCGGTAAATTTTCTCCCCTCCCCTCTCTCCTAGCTCACAAAATTTGAGTCAATTGGACCGTCATGATCTGGGCGTTTTTAACAAAAAAACTAGAGAGGCCGTTATCATACAATCAACCCAGCTGAAAGTTGAATTATCATGCCTTCTTAATTCAAGTTTGGTTGGAACCCCGTTAAGAATCTAAAACTGCAACAGCCAAAGCACAGCCGCCTTTCAAATGTGAAAAAAGATTAGTAAGTCACTTAATTCAGAAGATCCCATTCGGAACTCAGAAAATGGGTCAAATGGGTCAAATGATGCTGCATGAACGATGAAAATCTCAGTCATACAATTTTGATGTCCCATCAACCAACGTGGCTAATATGATAAGCATGAATAGAAAAACGCATGTTTCCATTTATTTTCACAGCTAGTTTGGTTCAAAAAGGAAGAATAACCCCTATTACTTGAGGCAGAAAAAGTTGCAACAGAGGCACACAGTGTAAACCCAAGCACAGGCAACAATAAGACACCAGGATGGACCACGTGATCGGATACATCGAAAAAATGCGCGCGCCAGCAGAAGGCTAGTGAAGTATTGAATCCAAACTTACCTGCTGCGACCTCTAGTCCACCCCAATTATTGGGCTGATTAATGAGAGCGAACACTTTGGATTAATTTACGGCCGTAAGGTAAGTGTCAGTTCACACTAATAAGAAGTGGATAAAGTCACCTTCCGATAACTGCAGCCACAAATACTTGGCCGTTCCCATGTATCAGCTGGAAGAAAGAACTGACCCAGAATGGGTGTAGCTGTAAAACATTTGAGGATTTACGGTCACAAGCGAACAAATAATGAATTCTCGAAATGCTAACATGCCAAAATAGTTTTCGGCGATTAAAAACTATAAAGGTGATAAAAACGCCAGTTAACATTTTCAACGTCACATAAAATCAGCGCACCCCCTGTAAGCCGAAGAAAAGACCAAAAACAAAATAAAGCCCTATTCAATGAAGTCGAATACTCACGAGGAATAACCTTGGGATCAGTTTCAGATGATGAAGCAAGGCTCATGAAGCTGACACTGATGAGAACTGTATCATTCACCTTGTTGTTGGAGACACGGTCAATTTTGTGAAGCTATAAGACATTAAAAAGGCAATCACTAATAAGTCGCCAATAGGATTTAATATGCCTAAATAAGTCCCCACTTGGTCGTAAATAGGTGCAATAAGTCGTCCACCAACATTGAGAAGTCGTAAGATAGCTTCCAACTGTGCCGGTGATGAGATCATGGAACCAACGTAAATCCGGTCATAAGTAGGCCAGAATTCCACCTCATAATTTTCATCATCAGTAGATTCACGTTTAATTAGGGGAGGCGGTTCAATATTCAGGTTTGGGGAAAGGAGAGATTGGTGGATGTACTCATCGAGAGAGGACCCCTCTGAATCGAAATCACCAGAAGATTCGGCATTGACGACTCGTGTGGAGGTTGCAGAGGGTGGAACAACGGTAAAAATATTGCCGACGGTGAAGTGGGGCTCACAAAAGTCACGTTCGTAAACGGCATCACTAGCCAGAAATTTAGTTAGACGTTCTTGAGCAAAGGCCACATTAGACTCATGGAGTTCGATACCATGGTTGATGCTATTGGAGCCTAAAATCAGCAGGATACAAAGGTAGTTTTACAAAACTCACAAACTCCAAAGGGAATATAAGTTACCGAGCATTAGTCCAAACATTGTGCTGAGGTACCCAGTTCCGCTGCCAATATTAAGAACAGACTGTCCAGGTTGAATGTCGAGTTCGCGGAGGACAGTAGCGTAGATTCCAGGAGCCGAAAGATGCAGTTTATCAACTCTCCAAGCAGAGTCACTATATATTTGCTCCTTAGGCTCAATTGCATAGTGTCCACGGTCCACGAGCCTAAACACGCGCTCAACTTCTGGAGGAATCTCGCATGATTCTTTGAGACTATCGACGAGAGCCTGATTATCTGAGAAACTGCTCACGTTCCCACCCATTCCCGCATAACTCCAAAATAGTTTAGAGGAGGCGCTCTCAATTTAAGCAGTTAACGTGGACAAACTTCATATTTGCAACTATATTAAAAAGAATAAAAACGCTCGCGATAGCACAAGCAGTAACTACATTATTATAAGTGTCGAAGTAGGTGATGCTTTAAAAGACTTGATATTTGCAGCTTAAATTCATGCCATTAAACTTTAGTTAATTAAATGCTTTTTTCATGTCTTTGAAGGACAGTTACGGTGACGTATCAAAACGAAACCGACATTTCATATTCTACATAATTCAAGACTTCCAGTCTGTGTGAGATACCTATGAACCAACCCAAAGAACAACCTTCTTCTTCCTCCTCCTCCTCCTAGATGTACGTGAATAGTGGCTCTCACTATGGCGTTCCGAGACTTTGTACAGAGTAGAAGAAACAGCACATGTATTCCAGAGAGGAAAAGGCATTAGGTGTGAGCTTGGTTCTTTAGATCAGCATATGCGTAAAAAGTAGCACGCCAAGACTTCCCATAGGATGGAAGAAGGCAGTATGGAAAGCCGAATGCATGAATTCCAAAGAAGGCAGAGCAAATCGGCCTAAGCATGGCTCGAAGGCCAGCCCACGAGTACAAGGGCCAGACAAATCCTAAAGTGACCACCGAATGTCAGATAGTCAAATAAACAAAGCAATACACTGCTCCTCTTTT